TCCACGGAAAGGGGCTCGTATTAATTCACGTACAATTGCGATCAATAAATGCAGCATTCACACGTTCATTTTGTTCTTGAGCTCCCATCGCTCTGCTCCGTCACACCAGGGCACTGACAATGTCACCTACATTAGGGATGAATCGTTCGTAGCCAAATTGCCAAGTTTACGTAACAACTCGACTGATAGCGTCAATTATTATTCTCGGGAGGCTTTAGTTTACACCGGCCACTCTGTATTGATAGATTTTAAGTGACCAGTAAGCCAATTGTTGTCACCTCACTTTGGTCATCAAGGTCGTCGGATTTACCGGCGTCGCTAGTCTTCAGTAGCTTGTTTCAAGGTTAATTTCATCTAAGTCAAAGTGGTAAGAACCCCCATTAAGGATCATATTAACCGAAGAAGTATGATCGTGCCAGTACCTTTTGTATTTCTCCGTTTAGTGTAGATCTCAGCTTGTGAATAAATTGTTGGTCCCCTTTCGTGCATACTGAATTGATGCGTATCTTCCTTCCGAAATCGCCCACATTGGCGTCTAGAGACATCCGACGTGACACAATCTTCGGCCTACCGTTTCTGCTTCTTCCTCCTGTCCCCCTTCGATTTTGCCTGTATAGCTTATCCTCTATCTCCCTTCATCAGTCATTGACGGCCCTGGAGCATGAACTTGCTCACCAAAACGCTAACACGGGTTCGCAGTTGTTTCTCTTCTGGATGAGAATCCATAGGATCGACCATGAGATCGAGCATTTGGATGGTTCACTGAGTGATTTTGGGTTATTTCGTCCATTTGTATGACTCTCGACCAAGGACATCCAAAGGCGTGCGAAGTACAAATTCTCAGTGGCGTGGTTTCTGTGTTATTTGAAATGGCTGTACGCTCAACCTTTATTCCTGATAAAGAGCGTGTCCCTTAGAAAACTGCATGTTCTTGGATTACATTAGATGTAGAATAAAGTTGACTGCGAACCGTGACGGTGAAAGGTTGCTGTCCTGCATTTGCCCGTGTGTTTTACCTGGCTGCCAACTATTTGTTATTCGACATGGTCCCGAACTATTTTGTACAGGTATTTGTCTCTGTCCTGCTCTATCTTCTGAGAGTGTTCTACGTTTCGCATTATTCTGTATGCAAAGTGTAGGGTAGATAACCAAGTAATGTTCGCACTGCTAACCCACCTAGCTAGCTCTACTATCGCGTGGTGTACGAACTCTAATGGATTGTAGTGGCCGTTTGACTGCGCGTCTAGTTGCACTCATACCGTTTGTAGTTCCCTATCACTCTATAGAAACCTGTTTCCCTTGTACCCCAGGGGCGCTGCATTGCACCACATTGTACGCCTCTGGCTTTCCATTTCTGCTCGATAGCGCATACCTGCGACCAATTTGGTTTGTAGCCACATATATCATCCCATCGGTCTTTAATCCAAAAGTAATTTTCCGACAAAGCGTGCATACCAATCGACCTGCGTTCGCTTGACTTCCTCAAGTAATGAGGTATTTGGTGCACTGTTACAAATGCTCAACACTGTATCTGCGTTGTACCATTACAAATGCGAATCCATCTTTGCTCTGTTGCCTTCACCCCACTCCACTGTGCCTGGACTAGTATTCCTCAACTAAGTCAGTCATTGGACACAATAGCCACGTAGCCTTAAGTGAAAACCTCAATACAGTTACTGTCATGGATTTCTCTCAGAGTATGCTGTGTACAAGATTTCAGAATACCATGCACACATGGCATTAACAATATATGTCCACCTGCATACTCATCAACGATGCATGTTAAGGCTTCCCTGTTCGATCCAGTTGTTTTGGTACTCTTCTGGTTGGTTGCGCACTAAAGCCGTCATTTAGGATTTATCTACCTCGGACACAGTATTGGTGACCGAACTGACGAAGATTCCGCTAAAGGCAAATCGCGGTCTGGAGTCAATTTGCACTTCACATTCCATTAACGCGACAAATGCTCTGATTACTCAGCTATGCCCTGATTACTGCAATGCGATGTGTCCAAAGTTCCTGTCCCATCTGTCTACTGATTCAGTAGTATATGATGGGATAAAATGCAATAGCTTTACAAAGCCTACAGAAAGGTAAATGCAAAAGAAAACTACAATGTGCCTGCTTAGAACGTGAATTATTAGTAGTCGTCTATATATGGCACCTTATCATGCTGTTCTGTAGCGTGTATCACTTAGATGAAAGACCCTCGATTGTCACGATGTCTGGTTCATTCTCCACACTTATTGGCGATGAATTCCAGCCCAGTGTGAACAAATTCTAAAAGAGTGAAATTGCTTTCTGCAGTCCAAGTAGGAGTGTTGAATTGATAGTTTCAGATCATGATCTCGGCATCGGTTGTTTTGGAGTTAGAGTCAGCGGTGACTTACATGGATGATCGTTGTCTGTTAGTATCCGGTATGTAAAATGGCCATCCCCGCTAGGCCGTCGGTATTCCGAGGCGAACATAACGACCAAACGAACACACGTCGCATAATTGAGACCGGATAGCCCACCTGTTGCCTAGATGACTACTCTATTTCGGACTGATACAAGAGGCGAATGTCTCGTTTTAACTTTAAGCACCGGGCCTGAACCACATACTTAACATAAGGAGGAATATACGAATTCGTCATCAGGGGTAATAGCCGTCGCTCAGATGCACCAAGTGCTCGCCTAGGAAGTCTTAGGTTCCAATTCGCCACATTTGCTGCTCTCGAACCTTGTGGCAAATTGCCTAGACTTTCTTGAACCTTGATACCTGAGTCTCTTTCATTGATCACTTATTGTAGAGCGTGTTGCTCTAAAGGATACTTATAGTTGGAGCCGCCGCGCAGCGCTATTAGGTAGCAATTTGCAGGGTTCAATGGAAGCTACTTCATTTCCGCCTTTTCGTGAATGCGCTCCAGATTGCTTTGGAGGTAGGCATCGTCGGATTTTGAACGAATAGATGTTAGGATCATCGACACCTATCTGCATCGGGGATTAAGTATTTGCTGTGAAGTCTTTGATATACATTAAAATCAGTAGCGGGCCGAGGACGAATTCTTGCTGCACACCACTGGAGATTCACAGGGTTTCGGAGTGGGTGTCGGCGATTCTTACCCTGGTTGTTCTGTCATGTAGATAACCTCCCAACCAATTGAGGGCGGAACCAATGATATTGTAGGCACAAAGGTTGCGGTGAAGAACTGAGTGATTGACTGTCGAATGCCTGAGAAAAGCTTAAGTAAATCATCTAGTGGGACCTCCTTCCTTATCCGCCTTGGTCCATGTGTTCCGAGCAAGAAGTAGACTGGTAAGACAAGATCGTCTTTAACCCACGACTACTGAGAAATGAGCCTAAGGCAGCGTTCAAGCAATAATCCAATGGAACGTGTCGAAAAACTGCTATAGCGTCTCGTAGTTTGCCAAACACTGTCTGATAAGCGTTGTCACTCGCTCACTCAATTTTGCGATCAAGCGTGGATGTGGTTCGTGAGCACAGCGGTCCTGCGGAAGTGGCTTCTTTGTGTGGCAGTCATTGTCCCAGATCCCTAAGGAAACATCGCTCATAGTGCGGCACCTTAGGTCCCACCTCCGAACGAAATGCTGATATCACACCGTCTCCACAGTTGCCTGTGGGTTTGGATGACTACCATCTTGTATTTGCAAGCGCGCGCTTCCCTCTTAACACTTCCAGAAATAGTAACACGATAGACTGCATGCAGGAACTAATCATCTACTTCGTGCAATTTAGGATCAGTACTGTGTCAGCCCAGTTCCGCAACGACAGCTTGCGCTTTGAAGATACGAACGGGACGTATGCCAGCCTAACCGTGCACCACTCTCCGTAAGTGCATTCAGCCGTCCTTTTGCAAATGCCATTGTTCGCTTGTACAACGTCTGGCAGTCGGTTACTGCCGTGAGGAAAGCCGTTTCGCTGCTGGGTATTCTATCGTTCAGTTACTCAGTCATACCAGTCTGGGCATCCCAGATTGGGTGCGTTGGTTGTTTCTTTATGGTGGTCACTTTATAGTGGTTGCCACCTGAATAGATTGCGACGTGCAGTCTTCGTCTATACCACTATTCTTTGGCCTGTGACCGCCGCGTGGTCTGCACGCCTGGATTGCAATCATGAAGCCACCGGTTCGAATCCGCGTAGAGGCGGGCATCTTCGCAGTATGCTCTGCCCACACACGACTGGTGGTGATCGCGCGGCAGCGAAGCTCCGTTACGGGGTACACCCGACGACTTACTTGCTTTTTGTATCGCTATTCACTGTGAAGTGAGCGTCGGTCGATTCGATCATTGGGGCCGTGTCTCAAGTAGATAAGTGTTTGGAGTTGCTCCTTCGCAACACTGCAATCCATAACTGATTTTCTGCTTATTTACATTTGCTGGGATGCCAGCGGCAGTTTCCACTTCTAAACCACGGTTAGGACTGGCGTCACCTGTAACTCTACGGCTTAGGAGTATTGGCGTCAGCTGGTGTCCCATGCGCTCCGTGTTTGAGTCTCAGTGTTGCTGGCACTTCCCAATGAATGTAATTCAGGGCGAGGCCAGTCATGGATTGCAGTGAAACGAACACCAGTTTACATTGATGAATTATTGGTCCTGGTTCGGGAAAAATTGATGCATGACGATCCGAAGGTTCTGGGAAAAACAATGCATTTGAGAATAAGATGCCATATCCATTACATTACGCAGTACTCTTTCCGTTGACGTCAAGTCTGTAGGCTTGCTCCATTTCAGGATCCGGACAAACCAGGTCGACGCATTTGTCGCGCTGTCACTTGACAAATTTCAGCCCAGATAAAGCAGCTAGCGCAGCGGCATTCATTATTCCGCCCAGTGCATAGAAGAGGGGTAACAAACGGCGCAGTAAATTCGATTCACCCACGCAGTTATGCTTTTCGATACACGATCACTATATCTGTTCAATATCATAAATGATGAGTGGGTCCTTGACGCACTGTATGCTCATAACACCTCACACTGTTTCACATTCTGTTATATAGACACGTATATTGGACTGCCATACATTAGAAGAATCTCATCGGCCTTTAAATGGCGTGTGCTATGAGTCTTCTTACACAGTTCAGACCCTTAGCACCAGTTCACGCTTCAGTTGCGTAGTTTCCGTTCCCAATGGCAACCGAATCCAAGCACAATTTACAGTTCTGAAGAATATGTTACATTTGCTCTTGGATGGATCGTTACCTGAACGGGAAGAGGCGGAGTAAGCTGTTTGTTATCACTTTTGTCGCCTCATGTGCTTTCCTCGTTTACGTCACCTAAGCACATTGTGATGGCCACCAATATTATGATCATGGCTTTTTCATGTGTAGTTTTGACCTTCGTTCGCGTTTCGCCATTTGGAACTCAAGTTGACTAAGTTGGAGCTACGCAAATTGTCACCCGAAGCAATCAGGGAAAATCTTTACTTAGCGGCCCTATCGCCACACGGTCTCGCGTTCAGTTACTACAGAGGAAAGGAACCCTTCGATCTCCAAACTTCCTGATCCTGCTACTCCCATATACCTAGAATTGTGTCCCGTGCAACTAGCGTAGTTGCTACTGTGTGCCGTGGACAGAGGACTTTGAGTTCGACGCATTCGCGGCTAGAAACATAGATTCCAACTTGTGGCAACTCTTAAGTGGGCGCTCCCAGTGTTCAGTTTGTTGGTTCTATTTGGATACCCTGCATAGTAGGACGCTTTGGCAGCTTTCACCAGCCGAACGGTTCACGGCATCCATCGGATCTTGTGCATCAGGTGACGCTGAATGGGATACTTTGCCGGTTACGTTGCAGGCTCACGTTAAAAGAAAACCAATTTGTAGTGGCCACAACCAGCCATCGGCAATCGGCTACCTCTGATTGCCATCTCGAACGGAAATGTAACAAAGCTAGCTTTCTGCCACTGGATACATACAGAATCGTGCTCTCCGACGGGTCATACTAGCCTAAAGCGCATTGTAGTTCCGCTTTCTAAAGTGAGTTAACCATGATTCTTGTGAATTTGACTGACTAGCGGGTTAATTCTTCCATTTCGAAAACTCGGTACTATGGCAACCGTGTTGTTTGTATGCCCTTTATTTGCAATTTGTTGCTGCACTGTAATCCCCCAAAGTGACCCATAACATAATTCTTCCGACGCAGCCTTCTAAATCAGCATAAACTGGCTTACTCTTCACACATATATAGTTTAACACGACTCGGCTACCATCATTTTCTTCATTCATGCGCCATGCTGTAGCGTATTGAGGATTAAAACAGCATTCTTCATGACTGGTAAATTACTCGCAATCTTGGTGATACTTTTCACTGTCATGGGTATCACTCGCGTTCCATGGGACTGTTGGGTGGCGCCTGGGATACTAGTCGGTAATCATTGACACATAAGTGCCGTGTCAAATACGGGACAGTATAGAAGTTGGACGCGAGTAAACCCAACGTGTATTATGCAGGATACAAAAATAGGAAGCGAATCAACCAGAGTGAGAAGTGGTGCAGCAAGATACTCACCTAAACAATTTGTGTCAACGGAACTGCCGTCAGTAAAGCAAGTGGATGTTTGGAAGGTTAAAACAACGGTAAAATCCAATGTTGCAAAATACTGAAAGGACGTGTTTTCCGGTACACTACAGGACCTCAGCTACACGCATCCTGATGCTGGCCGTCAAACTAACCACCGCAATTCTGATAGGTGCGTTCGATTGCTGACCTTGTGTTCACTAGACGCTAAATTTGTTCTCCCACCACTTTGCAATGTGTCGCACTTACTCCGCCTTCAATCTGTAATTTTGATTAGATTTGCGTGTTACCCCGTTTTTCACACACAGTGAGTCCAAGGAAGGATCTGATTGGTTCGATGATTTACCCGATCCTGTGATAATGGATGACTTTTCTTTGGGGTTCACCACGTTTGCCCGCACACCGAGGCCCACGACCACCAAATCATCGGTACGCCAACAGCCTGAGACGCGCCGCAATGGCTATGAACCCCCCTCCTCTACTACCCCGGTCCCCTCATCACTCCTAACGCAAGTTCACCTGCATCCGGCTAACTGGAGTGAATTCGAGTTTTTTCCCCTTACTTCCGCTATTCATCCGGGCAATAACTTTACCCTAATGTGTCGGTTACCTCGCCTGACTCATCAGCTGGAGCTATGGTACCTGGGACACGTGTCCTCCACTGGGAAATTTTCCACAGCCAGTCAAATGTGTCTACCGAAGGGATGCTACGATCGCCAACCAGAGCTTCTAAAGGTGAGCAGTTAGCCTCATGATCACAGCTTGTCAGCATAGTGCCATTTGGGCTCGCTTACTGGATGCAGTCCAATTTACTATACATGCTATAAAAATTGGCTGCCGTCATTAGTTACTAGCAGGCGTGAGGATTTCTCGAAGACGGTCTATGCAATTCCTGTTGGTGAACCTCTATTACGTTTCCATCTGGCAGTGCGCTGTTACAGAATCGTTTGTCTCGTCCGTAAACGGTGCTACCGATCCAGCCTTGCACAATCGAGTCCCCTTAAACAAGCAGCAGTTTGTGATCTGTATAATATTCTCATCATTATCGTCCAATGTCACCGCTACCTACTACCCGCTCCTTTATAGGAACCCATATGCTGGGTACTGGTGTGAAACTTGCCTTCGATTTTCCGCATTACAATTCGCGGATTTGTGTCCTTGACTGGATATGGACCCTTAAGCTGTTCCAAAATAGTTTAGTCAGACCCATTACTTCATTCAAAGTATGATTATAAGAGCGGTTTTTATGGACTCACCAATATTGTATGCACTTAATCCATTTCGTAAGCATTGTATTGATTACTGATTTGTATGAAACAAACTGTTACCGTCACTTAAGTTATCCGCAACGAATGTTCCAGTCCTGAGGCAGGTTTTTCAATTTGGAATATTTTCGCACTTGTATATTCGGAGCTTACAACAAACTTCCGCCAATCCACGCCTGGCGTCCAACAGCTATTACAAAAATGGAAGCAACGATCAGCCGAAAAACCCCTAAACGTTCTTCAGCCCAGGTTATTAGGATGCCTGATTTCTCAAACATCTAGTTTACACCTTGGTCGGCCCAGCGACATCACACCATCTCCACAGGATTTGCTTTTGTTTCTGGTGGACTAGTTAGCTGATCTCAACCGCAGTTGTCTTCACCATCTAACCCACATTTCGATTGAACAGTAAACTGGTGTGGATTGACCCCAATCTTAACCCCCCCCCTCGTCCTTCTAGTGAGTGTGGCATCTTCCAATTTGTCGAGCTCGAAGTTGAACTTCAGGCACGCTTTTAACTTTGCGTAGGTGGCTAACTGTCCACCGAAATCACCGTTTCTCAGTGCTTTGACTGTAGCCCTGGACCTCCACAGCTGATTCAGCGTTCATTGGCATCCACACGCACCACTTTAGTGTTACCTGTGCGTTTTTCGCTCAGTCCAGGTGAAAACTTACTTGTCCCACTATAGGGTACAACAATCACATTAATACAATGGATGTAACCCCGTTTTCCAGCCTCAGAAGGTCACAAGGCAATGACGCGCCACTGTGTCTACAACTTCCTCCTCCTCCTCTAGGTTTCCGAGTCAACACCGATCCATTTCGTCGATGGAAAAGGGAGGATCGCCACCAAGTACCAACTTTCTCCATCCGTGTTTGTGACAATTACTCATCTGGACGAGGACAATACTGGCACATACCTTTGTCGTTACCACCATCTCTATAGAACTGTGGAGGTCAACCTCACCAGCTTGACTGAGGCGGGTAAGCTCTGTGCATACGTGTGCATGTGTGGATCGACTTCGTTGTTCCGCAGTGTGTTCTCTGCCTCCCCCTTTTTGGCTCCTATTTGTCCTTTTACACATCGTCTCAGCACACCTACACCGATGAGTCACCCAGATAGTGCACTGCACAACAGGGACCGGAGAGTGGCAAGGAAATAGGTCGTGCTTGAACGTGTATGGACTGCTCTCTTGGTCCACCCCTCTACCCCACTGGCTCACCGTTGAGAGACCTACTCAGAACGCCCAATGTTGGCCACACGTATCGATGCATGTGCCGTTCATGTCATTGTGCAGGCAACCTTGATCCGGATGGGGTGCGAGTGACGATGACATTGGGGCACACTGCTTCGATGTGGATGATCGCATTCGTCGACTTGGCCTATCATATAGTTCATGCCTATTCCACACCGACCTGGAGTTGTTGTTAACTAACGGAAGTGCTCTTTAACCCAACTGCTTCATACTGCATTGTTTTATGGTGGTGCGCATTTTTCATCAAGTTCTTCACCAACCCTCAATGTCTTGCAGTGATCGGTTGCCAAGTGACTTCCATTTCTGTCACTGCCGCTTCAACAGCATACTCGAACTGTCGTGTGTCAGTGTTGTTCTACACTGATAGACGAAGTTTATAGCACTGGGTAAATGAAACGCTGTGGGCAAACGCGAACCAAGACCGTAACCATTCCCCCATGAAGTGGTGATGTGCATTCTAGTGGGGGACCATACAATGGCATGGTCAGTTATGGATGTGAGCTGGGTCGCATAGGTGTAACGCGTCGCGACCAAACGCCAACAACTCCGCCGATGAGTGAACACTACAAAGATAAGTGCTATCCAACTTATTTAGGTAGCCCGAGTTACAAAATGTCGAGTTACGGCTATGGCAACCCCGATATGCCAGGCGAGCTATGGGTTTCTGTTCGAGCCGTACGCAACGCAAGCGAAAGTGAGTACAGTTCTAGGTTGATTAGGACGTTATTGTGTGCCTTGCTATTCGAACACAAGTATGCCCTTTTCACTTTAAATCGAACGTTTAGCAAATCACATTGGACGTTTTACAGCCCACTTTGGACGTTCTACAGAACACATTGAACGTTTTGCAAAACACTTTGGACATTTTGCAAAACAAAATTGGACAGCTTACATTCTAAGCGCAAAATCAACAATTTGTTAGCAAGATATCCGGTGACTGGTGCAGTGACGACTGATAATACCACAAGCAGGAGCTCCCGCCTGGTGCATAGCGGCCGTGATCTTATTCCGCTGAAGCTTAGTGTCATTAGGATAAGAGAGCGAAAGTTCGGTATATATGTAAGGTTGCTTGAATACTGTGGACTTGGAAAGCTTGTCACTTGCCAATCGGGAAGTGCTTGGTACTCCCTGTAAAGTTCATAGAAAAATGACAATGTACCATGGCATGACCAGGGTCGACGCAAGTATTCCATGACGAACGGCAATCCAGCATAGAAGCACGCCGCCTGTAAACTTGGATTTGGACTACCGGCCGTGTCATTCATTCATTCATTATACACGTTAGCTGCAGGTGGAAAACACCTCAGCTATTGTGCCGCAATACAAAACACAAGAAGAAAAAAGCAGAGGCACGCCGGCTGAGTCCTCAATAACGGATGGGCATTGTTCCGGAAAGTTAACAGCCGGCTACCGTGCCGCAAAAAGAGTTATATTATGCCTAACGAATTAGATCGTGATTGAAGTGGGAGACTAAGTAGGAGGGAGTGCACAAAGGAACTCACAACGCAAAAGCCATTGGGGCCGGCTCCAAGCCATATCAGCGAGTGTGTCCAAACGTGTTCATCGTCCTTAGGATCCCAGCCAGGCAGTCGGGATGCACCAACCGACGCCAACGTCGAAGTAAGGGTTTTCATTTCTCTCGACCAAGTCATCGCTTGACCTCCGCTCTTCCTCTTCCAGCCGCACGCCCGGCGCGCAAACGATGCACCTCTCGGGAGTCGGTGTGCTGGCATGCGCAACACGTGGCCCAGCCATCGGAGCCTGGTGCGTGATATAATGGTGCTGAGCGGTTCACTCGCTCTCCCTTCACCAAATACGCGACGCCGAACACACTCATTGCTCACGCGGTGCTCCCACCAGACATGAGCTAAGCTGCGAAGGCAGCGTTGATCGAATGTGACGAGCCTCTCTATGTGTGTCGACCTGATAGGCCAGGTTTGACAACCATATAGGAGAGTTGAACGGACTGCTGCGTTATAAACTCTGTCCTTCAGGGCGAGAGTAATGTCGCGTCTGTGCCACAGGTGGTGGAGATTGGCAAAAACACCTCGAGCTTTTGCTATACGGTTCGTAACCACATCTTCGATCCCACGGGCTTCCCAGGTACTTGAATTCCTGAACAACTTCTAAATGATCACCACAAAGCATTAACGCAGGGTTGGTTCCTTGCCAATCCCGGAGAATAACTGTATTTCGATGGGGCAAAGATTAGCCCAAAATGACTGACAGCCAGTGCTATTCGGTTCAGTGCAGCCTGGCACGTTTGGGCGCTGTCACATATGAGGGTAATATCATCCGCATACTCCAAGTCAAGAAGTCGCTCACCAGGAAGTAGCTCCACACCTTCTAGGTCGTGTCCGGCGAACGCTGTTTCTATGACTTCATCAATAGCGAAGTTAAAGGGGAAATGTGACAGTAGGCAACCTTGTCTCACACCGCTGAAGATGTTGGAAGGTGGCGACAGTCTGTCATAAACCCTCACTCTGCCCGAACTGTGCGCGTACAGTGCTTTGATAATATTTGCATATTTCTCGGGCATACCTTTACTCAGCATACAGTCCCAAATGACACATCCATCCACCGAATAGAAGGCACATTTGATGTCGAGAAAAACGACAACAGTGAGTCGCTAATAAAAATGGCGGTGCTCCAACAATTGAGACAAAGTGAAGATCTGGTCGATGCAGCCTCTATTTCGACGAAACCCGGCTTGCTCTTCGCGGTTCTGGCCTTCACGAGCGCCAGTCAGTCTATGGAGAAAGACAGAGGCAACCAATGTAGAGGCAGTTAACATCAGCCTGATCCCTCTATAGTTGCCGCATTCCGAACGAGAGCATCCCTTGAAAATTGGGACTATGACGGAGCGGCTCCAGTCGGTCGGAACACCTTCCTGCTCTCAAAGTTCCATTAGCAACTCGTGTAAATCCTACATGAGCAGGTCCTCCGAATTTGTAGAGAGGTGGAGGAATTCTATCTGCACCAGCGGCCTTAGGCAATTTCAATAGTCTGCTCTCACCTTCGACTTCTGCGTGTGATGACAGATTTAAGGAGACGGCCCAGGGAGAATGGCGCTCAATATCCGAAAAAGTAAGCGAAAACTCAGATTGGTTAAACTACCATGCAAATTGTTCGGCCCAACGCTCCAAGCGTTTTGACAAGCTGTGGATCGGCTGTCCACTCTCTCCGCATAGTGTCTCGCTAACACCAGGTCTCGTGCTGCCTATTTCCCGTATCAGACGGAATAACTTGCGATGGTTACCAACGCCAGCTGCTGTTTCTATTTTTGACGCACGATGAGACCACCAGACTTCCCAGTCTCTCTTCAGGATAGCACGCAGTTTTACCCTGAGATTTTTGCAAGTCTCATTGTATTCGCTTCCAGCCGGAATACCTCGCCGAGCATCCAGAGGTTTCAATGACTGTGTAGAGACCCAGTGTACAGTTTGGCAATTTGCTTTGCCACATGAAGACATGCCTGCTGATAGTAACGTTTGAGAGATATGCGACCAGTGATCTTCGACGATGTTTATTGGACGCTTACTCAGCCAAGACGCCAACGTAGTATGGTACTCATTCAAGACACCTGGCTTCGCCAGCTGGCTGGTGTCAATGCGCTCAGTGCGATGTTGCGGACGTCCGCAGAAACGCACCCGCAGTTCGGCACGCAGGAGAGCGTGATCGGAGTCCACACTGGTGCTCCAAATCGAGCGACAGTTTTGGACACTGCCTCTCCAGCGATAACTAATCGCGACGTGATGGATTTGCGTCCATGGCTGGCCTGAAGCTGGTGGGCGCCAAGTCACTCTTCTGCGGGTGCTGTGTCGAAAGTTAGTGCTCGCGAGAAAGAGACAAGCACCTTCACACAGGTGTAGCAGCCGTTCACCGTTATCATTATGGGAGCCTACACCATGTTGACCGCCCAAATGAAGCTCATTAGAGGATGATACTCCGACTTGGGCATTTAGATCACCAGCAAGCACCGGCCGTGTGGTTGGATTGCGACGCGTAATCACTATTTTGACTTTGGCTCTCTTTGAAGTAGACCTCAGCCATTCCGATCACAAGGACCGTATCCGAAATTGAGATGTTTCGGTACTGCTCCTCTCACAACTGGGGGTAGCGACACCGAAACACATCCACACCAACTGTAACTTATTTCAGTATGATCTATTTGGGTCCATCGCTGGCCAGCTACAGGAGGACACCAAGCGGCACTTCAACGCCCACTGTCTAAAAGAGGGGCTGCTAAGAAACAGCTGATACTTTGATACAGTTGCAACAGACACCCGCCATTGTCCTTCCGTTCGGAGTTAAGCCCGTAAGTTCCACCTAGCTGAGCTTCTGAAGAGCTCAGCCGCTTTACTTGTGCATTCACATCCCCTTCAATAAAATAACGATATCTGAACTGGTAACCTTGCAAAGCCGCGTGTTTAGTTCGTAGTCGAAGGTGCCCTTGACAGCATCAGAACTGCAGTTGGCGGGGGCATAAATGAAAACCACAAGCAAACAGCGTCTTGTACTACTTCGTGAGTTGATGTCTCTACACGGGCTGCACACAAACTGCTGTTCACAAGGATCCAATCAGCTGACGATGACAACCTTGGAGCTGAAAACAATGCCCACTCCAGCTTGACCAGTGATTTCCGCGTCAGCATCTCCGGATGCATGGAACCAGTAGCGAGGGGACAAGCCGGGCGCAGTTAATTCAACAACCCCGTGAAGACCATTGATCATATGTTTGGATACGCAACACCCGTCAACACCCTGTGTGTCCAACGTGCTTGCGAGTGCACCCATTTGACCTATTGGTCTTCGGGTGCGAACTTTGAACGTTTGCCAATGAAACGGGAGAGCTCGGCCTTCTAAGGGGATACCGTAAATATGAGTGCACTGCGTGACGCGGGAGGATGGCTGCTGATGGTCGAGCTGCAGCGGCATTGCGGCTGCTATTAGTTAAGCTGGGAATTGTGGAATGAGGGTTAGTAGTGGGAGTCGCTAAGAGAATAAAAACAGTCGGAAAGGAAGAAGGGAGGCGCTGGCAGTAGCAGCTTTTCGCTTATCCACTGTGCTGCAACAGATAAGACAACTCTTGATAATCTGCGTGACGGCCGATGCAGGGTATGGTTGAAGTTTGGATAAGTAATCATGGTTGTACGGGGACTGATGTACTGCCAGGGCGCCTAGGCCTAGACCGGAGGACGATTAAGGTTCTCAACCTAATTCTTTGGCTCAAAAGCCTGTCCGCATGGCAGCAGAGAGGTTGCAACGATTCAGTTTTACAGAAATGGACGCCATCCCATCCCAACGCCCAATCTGGAGGACCAGACGACTGAGTTTTTCAGACCTCTAACCACTAACCAACCCGTTAGGAGTAGCTCTCAAGGAGCCCGGGGGCACCACCCAGTCAGTGGGCTCAAAAGGTACGCAAACCGTCACACCACTTTAAGCTCCAGTCTGGTCGCGACGGACGATTGGTTTTCAGTATTGGGTAAATTTCATAAAGATGTTGCACCGGATTATGAGAGAGTGGTCTGTACTTTACCACACGTGGTCCAGTTTTGTGCATTGCTGAGTGTGCTTCTCATGTTCCGTGCTGTTTCACCTAACTTGGTAGGTCGTTACACCAATATCTCTCAATATCTCATATGCGATTCGTACGACTCATAACACATTGCGTTCGGATCCGGTTACGCTCATTCTTTAATCATGCAACCAATTCGATTCCCAGAAGCTCCAACCATTCTTTTGGCGACGGTTCTCTGCTGCTGCATAGGTCTTCAAATACCAATCCTCCTTACAACGTTAGGCGGTCATTCGCACTGTGTGCCTCGTTATGGCTCCGGTTCTATGCCCATGCTTCATTCCAACGTGTTGCGTTACGGTCGGTTTACGTATCTGCTTGGATTGTATTCTGCCGATCGTACATTGGGATAAAGTGTAGCATGTTATCTGGTTGACCTCTAAACCGTGGCTGCCTACCACCTGCTCGTGTGTAGTCTGTTGACGCAGTAGCTTACTCTTGACTTTAGTTTTTATTGTAATGGAAACATTGAACCGCATCCGATTTGTGGAGTTAATTTATTTACATAGTGTTCTTCGAAAAACACCAAAAGGCCAATCTGTCATGTGGGATTTGGTTGCATCAGCACATCAAACCAAATCAGTTCAGGTAGGTAACCTCTTGTCTAGCATACGGTGTTGACCATTCTCGGTTGCTTGAACTAGTAGCCAGCATGGGATTAGACCCGCATCCGTCGATGAATCCTACTTATCTGTATTTTGACTTGCACGCTTGAATTGACGATCAGTCCCCAATGAACGGTGTGCTCATGCCTGTTTCATAATTAACAGACTTTTAATCCTATCCGATTGCACAGTTGATCTCATACGTTATACCGTAATTCCATCCTTGTTATTCATACAGGCACATCTCCGGACTTCCGGCCACTGGCTTTCGTATTCGTCCTCATCTATTTGGTCCTAGCCACCTTACTATCCTCCCTCTTGATATGCATTCGATCACTCCGGAAGCCTGTGATTGCCGTGTTTAACTCTCATGGTAGTGAGATCAGCAGCAAATTCGCACGTGTGAATATTAGTCTCCGGCCAAACGTTTTATACCCAAGTTCCCTCTTCGACAAAGCTTCGGAGGCTAAACTTGTATCACCCGATGACCCTCCCAGCTCGATCTTATCCACTAATGAGTATCCAGATGCCCCAGAGAGCCACAAGCCTGTCAAAAGACGAAGAACTGTGTTCCGACCGCTCATTTCAACCAACCATATTGACCGGATTGGCAGTCTAAAAGCTAATAGTCAGCGCCTGCCTCCCGGTGGTCAGAGATGGGAGGTCTCTCGTTCATGCATAAAGACGAAGCAACTCATTGGCGAAGGATCATTTGGTGCTGTGTACGAAGGGATCGCTGTATGGAATCCTTCCGAAATCTCTCCAGCGTTCCGCTCTAGGTCCGCCCTCACAACCACGGTTGCAATAAAAACCTTGAAGAGTGAGTTTATTTTCGACCGCTCCCACATAATTCCGCATTACTCCTTGATCCAAGATGTGCTAAATGTCGACGCTGTGTCTCTTCTTGACATTCGCAGGAATCACCCCGCTTTCTTGCAGTTTCACAGAAGCTGCTTTATGTTTCAGTCCATATTTTCTTATGGTGGCTCCAAGGATTTGTAGTTGCAACGCGAGGACACTTATTTAGCGATTTACTAGTTGTTGATGTGCTACTACCTGCTGCGATCTTGCGATTAGATCGAGTGCATGCTGACTTCGGCCTCTGTGTCCACTGGACGGTGTAGCTGCCGTCCCGTGTTAAACAGAAAAGGCACACCACCTAGGGACTGTTCCACGCGTTACGCTTGCGGTCCTAGTGTACCTGTTCTCTCTTGACCGAAACCGATAGGTTGACAAACAGCTTAGTTTCTCAATTTTTATTGGAGCTACACTGGCTAGAGCCCATCACATCGCTGTGGATATCACTACTGGTAGATGTGCGTCTTTTGTGTTTCCGAACTCTATCACATTGCAGTTTATATTTGGCTAGGGAGACTACAAAAATGTTTGCATAGACTGTTATTATTATTAGCATTTCATTTAAGTGTACAAATCCCCATACATATCGAAATTGTTGTGGCCGCTTTTATCGATGATCGTCCCTTGGTCTTGATGTCCGACGATTACCAAGCAAGTTCACGTTACCAATTAGGAATTCAACTTATTAAACCGTAGCTGTTTTTATGCTTGTATTGCTTTGCGGGAAGCCAGAGTACCGAGTGTGCAACAAGCACCAGCTTAACGTTGGCACAAAGTTGATGGTGTGCAAATCCATGGTGCTGTCCGTTCTTCCATACGGCAGTGAAACGTGGACGATGTACCGGTGGGATGTGCGATATCGCGAGCTATTCCATCAACAGTGTTTACGAGGGATTTTGCGCATCGGTTGGTGCGACAGAGTTGCGGACGCGGAAGTCATGCGCCGAAGTGGAATGTATGCAGTGGACTGCATACCTTTGCTGCCACACCTGAGTTGGCTCGATCATGTGAGTCATATGGAGTCGACGCGGATACCGAAACAACTATTATATGATCAGCTGAGTATTGGAAAGCGGCATGTGGAGAAACCGAAGCTTCGTTACCAGGACATGATCAAAGTGAGTCTCTGACATCCTCATCTTGATTGCAGGTCATGGGAATCGAAGGCGGTTGATCGGCTTGCATGGCGCGATCTGATCACGAAGGCAGTTGCCAACGTGCAGGAGAAAGACCTCATGCATGCGGAAAAAAAGCGGCAGGCGCCGATGGGTTGTACTTCATCGACATCGAGCGCATGGTGCTTTAGCGCATGCGGTCGCGAGTTCCTGAGTCAGGCAGGCCTAGTGAACCAAGAGCGAGGCCACTCGGGGCCACCATTGTAGTGATGACGGGTCCCGCAGAGAACGTAGGCAGAACCGGCGCAGCGTTTGTAGGTACGCTGCATTCGATTTACTAACCGCTTGCTTGCATGTTGGGTCGCTTTGTTTCACGTGGTGGGTTTCCTATATGTCTTATTATTGCCTACGTGAGCTATCTGCTATTAACTTACACACGTCGCTCAACTTAATTGTAGTTACGATCGAACAACATTTTACGGGGTAACCTGAATTCAGATTACTTCGTGTCTTCTCATTCAGCTGCTTACAGCGAAATCGTGGAAAGAGTAAAGGAATACAATTGAAAAAGTGTCAATAAGGAAATCAATAAAAAGCTGAGAAAATCAAGGTCATCGCCTATGTCTTGCCAGGGCAAGGCAAGACTGGCCACAAGGCCGACCTGTTCGCAAAGGTTAGATTTCATTCGTCTGATGGCAGAGCGTTCAGCGTATTAGGAGAACAGCTATTAGACATTCATTTATTGTGAACGAGCTAGATAGCTATTCTTTACTCTTCCTATTTTCTATTTCTTGACTGTTGTTTAAACGCTCTACTGGGTTAGCCCGATTGGTACATCCAGGTCATTGTTAATGGACGCTCATCGTCATGTCCTTCTCAGCAGCGCCATTTGCAAGAACATATTCTATTGGTTTTTTCTTCTCATCACTGTTCTACTTGGTTATGTTAAAGGAATATTTAGTTGTCGCACCATTATTGTACTAGTTTTCAACTTTTGGGTCTATATTCCTTATTCTCGTTGTTTCGTGACTTTTGTTTAAACGTTTCATTTCGTCATTCTGATTGGCCAGTGCCCGTCACTGTAAATGGACGTTCGCTTTACGCTTGGAGTCCAATGATGCTATTTTTAAGGACAGACGCGATTCGCTCTTGAGTACACGGTTTCCTATTTACCGTTGCATTTGACGTTTTTCTTTCTGTTGGTTGGCTCAAGTGTACTTTAGTAGCTTCCCTTCACTTTGCCTTCAAAACTATATAAGCAACTGTGATTTCATGTATACAAGTCTCCTTCTGGCTCGCCTTGGACTTCTTCTTGCGGTCGTGGGGTGAAGGCGTCCGCGGCGACACAACACAGCGAAATGAAGCAAGCTGGCGTTGTTCTGTCTGCTGATAACGTCACGTGGGTTTCCGCACAAGGTACTATCGAGCAGGTGCTGAGCGATTGAGCTGGCTGGGAGTATAGGGCCACTATTTGCCAGGTTCCGTGGAACACGTTCTATGATCCTAGTTGATAGCCGTCTCTCGGTTCGGCCAATGTACATGCTACCGCAAATACAGGTGAATTGGTAAACACATGAGGCGGTAACCTGAGAGTGAGGCCTATCGAAGTTGGATTCATGGAACCGCTTCTTGCTTTGATGTAACAACACGAGCTCAGCTGCGTAGTAGCACCTGTTTATGGCTTGGCGTAATCGGTAGCACAATCTTCTGTCGTTCTGTTCCCCTTTGTATGGTTGCGTGATGAAGACCATTTTCTTTGGGACATCCATTCGTGTTTCTTTTTTAGCAACCTCATTCCCATGCCTGGCGATGAATTTATCCGGATAGCCGTTATTGCGTAGGTTAGATTCGATGTATCGTAACTCAGCCTCGATGGACTCTTCAGAGCATATTCGGTGTGCCCTAAGAAAATAAGTTCGAACTAGGGATCGTTTATAATTCATTGGACAGTAACTGTTGAAATGTATGTATTGTCCGATCCAGCGCGGTTTCCGGTAAATCGACCTTATGAGTGAACCATCTGCTCTTCTTTTAAGTGCATCGTCAAGAAAATGAAAGGGAGCTTTTGCTTCACTTTCCATAGTGAAATTGATGTTAGCATGGCGTTTGTTTAATGTTTCCAAATGGACTTTCGCTTGCTGGACGGTATCAACTACAACAAAAGTATCGCAGACCTACCTCGTATAAAGGTGCGTTGCTCCAATGACATCGCGTAATAAGTTACTCTCTAGATAACCCATAAAGATGTCAGCTAGAATCGGTCCGAGAGGGCTACCCCTCGCAACGCCTTCAATTTGACGATACATATCCCCATCAAAGCAAAATTGGACATCTTTCGTACAAATGTTGAATAAGGTCTTCAATCGATGTGCAGGCAGGACAACTTTGTCCGCATACATACTTATGATGTTCAGTGTCTCATCCAAAGGGACGTTCGTGAAAAGGGAACAGACATCAAATGATACCATGTGCTTATCTTGAACATTCAAGTGTCGAACTTTGTCAACAAACTCTAAAGCGTCTTTTAGAATGTACACCACAAGCTCCGCCCGTACAAGCTCGAGTCGCTTTGCCACACCGAATATGCTCTGAAGAGTCAATGGAGGCTGAGTTACGATACATCGAATCTAACCTACGCAATAACGGCTATCCGAATAAATTCATCGCCAGGTATGGGAATGAGGTTGCTAAAAAAGAAACACGAATGGATGTCCCAAAGAAAATGGTCTTCATCACGCAACCATACAAAGGGGAACAGAACGACAGAAGATTGTGCTACCGATTACGCCAAGCCATAAACAGGTGCTACTACGCAGCTGAGCTCGTGTTGTTACATCAAAGCAAGAAGCGGTTCCATGAATCCAACTTGGATAGGCCTCACTCTCAGGTTACCGCCTCATGTGTTTACCAATTCACCTGTATTTGCGGTAGCATGTACATTGGCCGAACCGAGAGACGGCTATCAACTAGGATCATGGAACAAGTACCACGGAACCTGGCAAATAGTGGCCCTAAACTTCCAACCAGCTCAATCGCTCAGCATCTGCTCGATTGTACCTTGTGCGGAAACCCACGTGACGTTATCAGCAGACAGAACAACGCCAGCTTGCTTCATTTCGCTGAAGCCTCTGCCATCCGACGAATGAAATCTAACCTTTGCGAGCAGGTCGACCTTGTGGCCAATCTTGCCTTGCCCTGGTGACATTGGCGGTGACCTTGATTTTCTCAGTTTTTTATTGATTTCCTTATTGACCCTTTTTCAATTGTATTCCTTTACCCTTTCCACGATTTCGCTGTAAGCTGCTGAATGAGATGACACGAAGTAATCTGAATTCAGGTTATCCCGCAAAATCTTGTTCGTTCTTGCTCTCTTAACATTTCTGAAGGAAAATGACTGCATGTACTTGTAGTTAAATTTGATAACATTTTCGCGATTGTGACATTTACTTGAGATATTTTTTCTGACGTCTTGAACCTAATGCGGATTTGTCCGTAATCATTTTATTTCATGTGCTCATTTATTAAAATCTCGACATATCTGCATGCATTATCCGATTTATTTTATTTCACTTTGTCGTTTCAAATGACTGCCTGTTTCTTGATATTGCTGGTGTGGTTGTGCTTGATGTGCATGTTGACAAGGCGCCTAAATGTCTATTACCCACTACATCTTCCATATTGGCTCCAGGAAACAGGGGATCGTTGCTGGAGAGGACAGGGTGCACTGTCCTTGTGGCCGTGTTAGTCTCGAAGATTGGTTCCATGCACTCATTGTGGAGCTGCCTACGGTCCAGCCACCGCCTTGTGTGCGATTGATTCCCAAATGCAGCGTGCCTGTGTTTGCCTTTGAAAGAGTGTGAGCCGGCTTCTTTGATGAAACGTGGTTCCCATCCACATCCCGACCGGACTTATTTCTTCGGGTTTACACAGGATATACGGGGTGTGGTTGGAGCTGTGGGTGGTGCAGCGCAAGCCACCCATAGTCCCTCTGTAGGCGCAGGCGTCCTGTGGCTGACCACAGTGACAGGCAATTCCGGATACGGATGCCTCCAAATAATTGCTTTGCGATCGGCACGAGTGACCTTAATATCAACATATTGAGACTCACCTCTCACTGTATTTATGAACTGGTTAGAAGAGGCTCCATGTTTGAGTAAAATTTACTGAGTCCGACGGTGCAAGACGTCATCTAATATTTGGTTCTTCCTGTAAATTGGCGAATGCAGCAGACGAAACCATTTCCCATTGACTTGTACCTTACTCGATGTGACGCTTGTGTAAGTTACCTCTATCTGTTGTTTTTTTTCTAGACAATCTCGACCATGATGGCTTGAAAAATCTAATGTTGGAACTGGAGATTATGAAAGTTCTCGAGGCGCATCCACACATTATCCGTTTGCTGGGAGTTTGTACTCATGATGGTGAGTTTTCCGGCACCCTGATTATTTGCTTCCTTAACTACTTCCAGTAAGATCTGTTTCTCACTCGTGCTGTATAACCATTTTGTTATTAGCTTGGGAATTCCATCAACGTCGAAGTTGACTCTGACAGGTGCTTACATTTAGGCCGTGTGAGTTTTATCAGGCGAGTGTTTCGACCGGAATCGTCGCTACAGCCAATTCCTGTCGGTCATTTGTGGGGACTCACCGTCGACCAAAATTAAGCACTCCACTCGAGTACCATAAAATGGTTTCCCATGGCATGTGCTCCGTTTTAATACTTTAATGCCCGCATTCTACTCAACTTTTGCGTGCAACTGTTTGAACAGGCACGTGGAGCACGTGCCAGCACATGTCGCTTCACTGCGCACCAGACGATGCAGAACTGGCTTACAGACAGCAGTGAACTGAGTCGAACATCGATTGACGGAATAACCCACCCTTACTGCTGGCGATGGCCTACGACAAGTCGCTATCCAGTGGGGAGAGACTGATTGAGGTCCGAATGCGAAGTTCTGACCTGAATCTCCACCTTGGAGTTTGCTGAATGTGTTCTTAAAACGACAAACGCGCGACGACACATAGTCGGTGGCATTCTCCCCATATTTACAGTCTTGCGTGCCAGTGTTTGCTGTGTTGTCCAAGGCCTAACTTACCGTCCTTACTCACTAACGGCGAGGAGGAGAAGGAGGAGGATAGTGTTGATGATGATGATGATGCTTACTGATTGGAAGCAGCAAGTATAGTTTGCGCTGTGTACCTGCATCTAATGTCACTCGGACAATGACCCGTTACGTTGTGTTGCGCTCAAAATATTTTGCGTAGGCTAAGTGTTTCTCCAGCAACTTCTTAAATTCCGACACCGACTTTGCCTCAACTGCGTGCTGCGGCAGGTCCTTCCATACATTCACCACTCTGCGTTTGAAAACGACTTGGTAAGCGACCCGCTTCAAATCCGGTACGACAAGCTTGTACCGGTGTCCTCGTGTGCTGCTTGGTGTGCGCCGATGAAGCAGCGGTCTCAAGATGGAATAATCTCCCAGATGTAATATCCGGTGCCTCATGATGAGGCCAACGCGCATTCGACGATAAGCTAGGGGGTACAGCCCTAGTTTCTTACATCGGTCTTCATACAGCACACCTCGTAAGTTGGGAATCAGCCTGGTGGCTACATGCTGTACTCGCTCAATCTTTTCTACGTCGCCTTGGGTGATAGGACAGCACACGGGAGAGCCATACTCTAGCATTGGTTGTATTACTGAAACGAAGAGGCGAGTGGCAATCTCTTCGGACCAAGTGCTGAAGCTGCGCCTGAGCGCCCAAAACATACGAAGGCTGTTTTGGTAAAGCCTATTCGTGTTGTCCATGGACTTTAGGTCGTAGCGTGATAGTACACCGAGGACGCACACGAAAGGCGCGGAATGCAACGGTTGACCAGCCACCGCGTAGGTTCGACTGTGCTCAAACCTATCCAGCCTCATGAATTACGGCTTGACCGGGTTGACCTCTGCAGACCACGTGGAGAGGCGGTCAAGGTGAAGTAGGTCACAATCATTGGTTGTGCGAATTACTCTCCACACCTTTAAGTCACCTGCGAACAACACACAAGGTGATTGGAGTAGCTGAGGCACATCGTTTACATGGATGAGAAACAGAATCGGCCTGAGAATACCTTGGGGCACGCCACTGCTCGACGGATACCAGTCCGTTAAATGGTTGTCCACCTGGACCCTCCACTTTCGATCAACAAGGAAATTCCTGATCCATTGGTGCAGCGAGCCACCAACACCGCACACCCACAGCCCGTCGAGGAGCACTGCATGATTTACCTTGCCAAAAGCCTTACTGAAGTCAATGTAAATGACATCGACCGATTTGCCCTTATTCAGCGCTGGTAACCATTCGTGTCTCGTCAACAGTAGGTTGAGGATGCACGGGCGACCTTTCACGAAACCATGCTGTACGGGCGTCAAGAAGCTTTTCGACTCGAGAAGCTGCAGAAGGCTCTTCTTCACGAGTTTCTCGAGCGTCTTCGGCAAAACAGCGTTCAGGCAGATCGGCCGGTAGTTATCCAATTTGCTTGGGTTACCACCTCTCGGTATTGGCTTTACGACTGAGCGTTTCCAGTCGCCCGATAATATTCCAGTGGATAGTGACCTGTTGAACAGCTCAGCTGCACAAGGCGAGATGATGGCCGATAGGGAATGCGAATCCATGGGTGAATTCCATCTGGCCCAGAAGGCTTCGTCCCGTCAAGACTTGCTAGAATCTTGCGTACATCTTCACTACTGCAGTCTAGGCTGTCTAGTTCATCGGGAGCGGTACTCGTCAAACTCGTTACAGACACCTGGTCACTTACAAATACGGGGCGAAGTGCTGCGCCAATGCGGATGCACGATCTGTGCTCGAGGTTAAGGGCTGTCCATCCTTCCAACACTGGAACATTGCCTGCAGGCCTCAGGCGCCGCTTCACGTAGGCGAAGATCCTCTTGGGGGCAGTTTTTGCGGTGGTTGCAAGCTGCTCTTCGAAACCTCTACGTTTTTTGTTTTCGCGTTGTTGCAGAGATTTCGCTGTACCTTGTACGCTTTGTAGTCCTCATCAGAACCAGATAACACTAATTTGCTTCATGGTCGGCGTCGTCTTCGGGTCAGTTTGCTGCACTCCTTGTCGAACCAATATGATTTGAATGGCCCAACTTTCCGATACTTGAGGGGTATAAATCGGGCGCACAACGATTTCACTCCCTCTTTAATGATAGTCCAACTGGTTTCAATATACGAATCCTCTGGTAAAGACCAAGCCATCTGGCTAGCTGCTCGAATGAGGCCATTAAAGTCCGCCTTCCAATAGTTGAAGGCTGGCTCCAGCGGGGGGAGAATACCGCAGCGGCAGTTCCGAGCTGTCTATGGTCATCGTGTGTTCACTCGCTCCCAAAGGTTCTAAGACGAATGTCAAACACACGTTGCTCACAGCTGGTCAAAAGCAGGTCTAAGCACGATGGAGTCGCGCGCGCAGTTATGCATGTCGGTTGGTTGATGTGCTGTGTGGCCCCGGTTTCAAATATCAAGTTCGCAAACTGCCTATCGACTTCACATTGGCCGGGATGAAGTTCAGCCTCAGGCCACCATATTCAGGGTAAGTTGGAATCGCTAATGAGTAGGAACAGCTGACGACTCATATGGTTGCGGACATGCGGCAACCAGTCCAAGCAGCGGCTCAGTGGACTGCGATATACCACGCCTACGGGCATCTCGCAGTGTCTGAGGTGAATCGAACACCATAACTATTCACATAGGCCATCAGCGCTTCTGTGTGCGCTCAATAGTCTCCACACAAAGAAGACTTGATATAAACCAGAACGCCATCGCGATCATTTGATGATCTACCACAGTGGAAGCATGAGTAGCCGCTGATTTCCACTTCTTGAGCGGTTACGTCGGAGTCTAACCATGTCTAAGCAAGGCCTAATACGCCTGATCGCTGAGAGCTTACAAAGTAGTACAGCTTATCGCGCTTGTTCCTCAGACTGAAGATGTTAGTAAAGGCTACGCACAGGCCGCGGTAGGAACCGCTGGGCGCGCCTGAAGCATCAGAAACCTGTTGACCTGGATTCGCGGAGGAATCCGGTTAACTACCTGAAAATTTACAATATGGAGATTTGTTTATCCATCGTCCATGCGTCGCTTTACTTCAATCATCCCAGACTTGAGTTTCTCTCTGTCTGCTGGGTCTAAGTCAGCGCGCACGTAGATCTTTAGACCTTTCAGCCTATTAAGGGTGGGCAATATTAACTTAGGACTTGCCTCTTCAACAAAATTCACCCTCATAGGTTTTGCCCTCAGTTCTCTTTCCGAGACGAGCGATCTGTTTCACTTTGAGCACGCCCTCATCCATGTCGACCAGCCTGGCAATCAAAGTTTACAAAAACTCGACATCATGCTCATAGCGCACCTGAGGATTGAAAGCAATTGATTCAGGTGCGTGAAAGACCATAAGGTTGTGGCGCCTCATGTCGCTAGACATTGTACTTGATTTCTTTGGCATTTGCATTTGTCATTCGTTATCACCAATTTGCTTATTTCAAATTAGAGCTTTAGTGTCAACGGGAGAAATCGTAAGTTTTGTAGCCAAATTTGCCGGAGCGCTAGCACTTTGCTCCACGGATAGATTTGCTGCCGTATTAGGTGTTGGCTGTTTCGCTGATTGTGGTGCAGGACAAATCGAGCTGCGCGTTTGAGCACACTTTGCTCTACTGATCCACTTGTCAGGCTTTTCGGCTCCATTATGCCCAAGTTTAGACTGACATTGCTTACAAATGGTCTTCAAAAGATCGTGCTATCCCTTGAATTACGCGGACTTGATCCACAGGCAGACCAATGCACGAAATATGAAACTTGAAGCTGCATAAACTGCATGTAATCGCGTTTGCGCGATGTCCAACGACTTTGGAGCAAATACCACAAGGTGTCTGCTTTGCCATTTCAAAAATAGGCACGGATCGATACGAGTAAATCAGCGTAATGTAGTATCAAAGAAATTCTAACATACTAGTACAGGTAGTTATGTTGAACTAAATCCAAATAACTAATGTGAGTGAATTACACCATTTATAGCACAAAACGACTTTAACAATCAAAAGAACAAGATAAACTGGTCAGACGAGGACACGAGCAAAATATGAGGAGGACGGACGCGAGTCAAGCAGATTGGAATGACAGAATTGCTGCCGAACAAGGTTTAAAATTTATTACTGGATAATTCAGAATCACAAATAATACCGAATTAAACAATTGAAGACGACAATTTACGATGTATGACAGAAAAGCTGAAGAAACTGGCCTGGAGCGATATATTTCGAATCGGCCGCCCTGCTGATGATGATTATGAGGATGATGAGGATGAGAATTTAGGAGCCCCTCACCGCTGTACGCCGCTTTCGGGCCATTAACGAACGCCATGGATCAGAGTCGATTGATGAATG